AAAAAAAAAAAATCAATATATTACTTTTATCGGCCTGCTGTGGTCACAGCTGAGACTGGAAAGTTTCACCCATATTTGAGTCTCATTGACAAGTTCAGCCCCTGGTCCTACAGATAGGATACCCTTTGGGGAACACTTCTGGAATAAACAGGCTCAAGCCACAGATCAGTCAGAGTGGGAGGAGCCTTTACCCATCATTAATCACTCAATCCTCCCCACCACCATGGAGTGTTCTGCCATTATAATCCCCGGTTATCAATGGAGAAATCAGACCGCTCAGAGATCAGACCCAAGGCCACCAAGCTAGTAGGTGGCTGAGGAGGTTTTAACTCTGGCCTTCTGCCCATGCCCACCATCTCCATTGCTGTGCCTTGTGAGTGTCAGAGAGAGGTGCCCCTCTGACGAAGCATCTGATGGGGCTGGGGGCAAGTCTTGCCATTGGATAGTACCTGAGGCTTCAGGACTGTGCCTACTTCATACACATCATATGGACATGGCAGACATTGTCAGATGCTAGCGTGTAATGAAATTTAGAGGCCTCTGTGTTTTCCTCTCCATCCTAAGTAAACAGCAGGAATACTGATGAACCCCCACAAGGGAAGTGAAAACCCTTTATCCCTGGGATTTTCCACAGCTTTGCGGTGAGCGCGGAGGCCTGTGAGTGAGCTCGGCTGGGCTGTGTATTCTGACCTTTCCTCTAATGCTCTGTTTACTTTCAGAGAGCTCGGGAAGGGTCCACAGACGCTGCTTGGCTCAGGGCATTTGGCAGACGCAGGAGAACTCCACAAATGTTTGGCAGGATGAGTCGGAATGTGCCGAGGATTCCAGCTTCAAGAATACTGTGAGTCTCCTCTGCCTGGTGAAAAGGCTCTGAGGCCCTGGTCATGTAGCACCCCGGTCACGTAGCGCCCTGGGTCTCTGAGGGACCAGCCAGCTTTGGGGACTCACAGAGAGGCTTCCCTCAGCTTGTCTGTCCCAGACTCGTCTGGAGGAGGTCCAGCACCACACAGAACAATACCCTTCATATCAGACTTCGATTTCCTCTATTACACCAAAAGAAAACCAAGAGGTTAGCTTTGAAGTCAGCTGTGACTGATGGCAACCTCACGCTGCAGAGCAGAACTGAGCTCCTCAGGATCCTCAAAGCCTTGACCTTTCAGTAGTCGCTTTCCAGGCCTTTCTTTCGCAGTGTCTTTGAACAGCCAACTGTTTGTTTAGCAGCCAGACACTGACTCATGGGTACCCCCAGGATCTTTCTGGGGCAAAATGTGAACTCCTAAGGGAAGCCAGTCTTTAAGCATTGGGTCTAGTGTTTGTGTTTGGCCCTCTGCTTGAATGTTCTACTCCCAGCTCCCGTGTGGTTGTTGTTATTGTTATTTGCCATCAAATTGCCTGCAAATCATAGTGACCCTGTATACAACAGCTCTGAAGCCTGCCCTGTCCTGAGCCAATCTCACTGTCTCTGACACACCTACCCATAGTACCCCTGTTTCTGTATCAATCCATCTCAAGAGGGGTCTTCCTCTCCTGCACTGTCCGTCCACCCTTTGAGCATGATGTCCTTCTCCAAGGGTCAGTCTCTCTTGGCCATGTGCCCAAAGTATGTGAGACAGAGCTTCAAAAACTCCTAGCCTCCAAAGAGAGACTCACCAAGACAGACATATTTGTTTTCTTGGGGCTCCATGGGATGTTCAAGACTCTTCTCTAGCATCATAACTCCCTTATAAACTTAAAAAAAACAGCAACAAACATCCTCAAAATTTAAACTGAGTGATGTCAATTAGGAACCAACTCAAAGCTGACCCTCCATTGAGTTTCTGAGATTGTAAATTGAATAGGATGAAGCTGTCCATCTTTCTCCTGCAAAGCCACTGGTGGATTTGAACCAGCAGAGAGAGCACAACCTTTGTGGGTTAACAGCATGACTCCCTGTGGACCAGACCACCAGAGCTCGTCTATGGCTGTCTCTTTTTCAACATTCAAGTTTCAGCTCAAATGTTATCTCAGAGGGGCCTTCCTCTTGTCATTTTCTACCACGCCATGGTGATTTATCTGTGTCCTCTGTAGCATGTGTTTTGGGAGGCATCCATGGATCTTCCAGGTAGGAGATTACTTTAAAAGTGTTAAAAAGCAAAGATGTCACTCTTGAGGACTAAGGTATACCTGATCCAAGATGTGCTGTTCTCAGTCGCCTTATATGAATACAAAAGGCTGGATAAGGAATTGAGAAGGCCAAAGAATTGATGCTTTTGGATTAAAGTGTCCTCAAAGAATGTTAAATATACTGCAATCTACTAAAGGAATAAACAACTTTGTCTTGAGAGAAGTGCAGCCAGAGTTCTCCTCAGATGTAAGGACGGCGAGACTCCATCTCACTGCCTTTGGGAATGTTGTCAGGAGAGAGCCCAGTCCCTGGAGAAGGACATCACGCTTGGAAAAGTCGGGGTTCAGTGAAGGAGAAGACCATCAATAAGATGGATTGACACAGTGTCTGCAAAAGGGGGCTTAAGCATAGCGATTCTGAGGATGGCACAGGCGGAACAGTGTTCTTTTGTGCCTGGGGTCACTGTGAATGGACACTGAGTCGATGGCACTTCACAGTGACAGCAGGGGGAGACCTGGGCTTGGCCCCTGGCCAGTGTCTCTCATGGTCATATCCTGTCCACCTACCATTGGAGGTTTGCATGTTGCTGTGATGCTGAACTACTTTCAGTGGAGCTTCCAAATGAAGATGAACTAGGAAGAAAGGCCTGGTGATCAACTTCTAAGTATCAAGTCAATAAAACTGTGATGAATCATAGAGGTCTGGGCAGCATCTGGTCCTAGGGATGTGCAGGACCAGTTAGTATTCTGTCATGTTGTGTGTGAGGTCATCATGTGTTTGGAGGCGACTTAGTGCCAGCTAACAACGAGTGTGTCACCTCCTGAGATTCTCATGCGTTGCCTTGTTTGTATCTCTCCCTCTCACCAGATGGTAGGTTCCATGGTAGCAGAGGTCTTGTGTGTCTTGTGTGAAATAGTAAAATACCCTAGGGCCAGATAGCCTCCCAACATGATATCAGCTCCTTACGTGCAACCTCGAGTAAGTTACTTCACTCTCTGCACCTCTATTTCCTCATCTACTTAGTGGGCACTGTATTTATGGCATATATATTAATAAACATTAACTTTTAGAAGAAAACCATCACAGAGTTAATATGCCCCAAACAGGAATTTCATTCTTTTACCAGGGTCTGGTATAGCTGCTCAGTACATGTTTGTAGGGCATACAAACTATCCATAGTGCAGAG